CGCAACCTGTCCCGTGATATAAATTGTTTCGTTAAGATTTGCCGCGTTTCTACACTGCTGCAGCTGGGTTCGCCAATATGCTGGCAGGATAAGAATAGTATATCACCATTAGAGATAGCTTATACGTATGGGAATGGAAACTTGCTCAAAGCGTTGCTAAATTCAGGCGCAACATTCCATGAGTTGTTAGCCAATGAAGAGAGGTGATTTTCTTTTTTAAATAGCTTAATCTGTAAGTTTTTATCCTTTTACATCTCCATGCGCTGAGCCCCTCGTTCCAGGATGGAAAGTCGGTGAACCATTGAGCAGTGGCCAATCATCCGAGCGGTTTTTCCATAAGATTTGTGTGGAATGTGCCTTTGAACCATCTGCCCGCAGCTGATTTTCTCGCAATTCCGCCACCATCATTCTGAAGCTGCGTTCACACTTTGCGTCAGCGTTTTGAGCGTTTCCGAGCGTACGCCAGCCTTTTGAAAATATTGAGCGACTAGGAAAGTACAGGGTATCGATCTAGCGTACGTCAGCAGGGCAACAGGCAGTGTTCTGAGTGTACGCTAGCGTTTTCAGCTACTGCACGCGAAAAGCAAAACTACCCGCGAAATGCTCGAAGCGACGTATGAGCGCAGCCTTATTAATCTCGTCGATAATTTGGGGTGCTCCTTGAGCTCGCGCTTTAATGAAGAAGTTCAACCCTCGCCAATCATAGTATTATACAAACGCTTGAAATCAGTGGGATAGATTGCTCATTATCTGCCCCCTCCCTCTCCATTTCTAAAATTATGGCCATGAAGCGTCATTGCGAAGCCAAATTTGAAGCCAGTGAAAAGCAATGCATATGAACTTTTTTTTACAGACTGCATCCATCGCGAAGAGGACATCTTTACAAACAGCTGGTACGGTATTCTGGGGTCCTCGGTGGAATTATGCGTGGTGCTCGGAAGAGAATTTTAAGGTACTATCGATCTCCTTCTACGGTTAAAAATTGAATGAAAGTGAATTTTCGCAGTTCAGGGGAATCATGGGGTGATCACATGTCATCAGTGACCTTACGAGCCGCTTCTATGGTGGCATTAAATGTGCTCCATTATCCGTGGCAGCCCCTGGTGCCAATCATGGCGCAGTTCGGCTTGGTGAGGGCAGCAGATGATACACAGCCAAGCCTGTACAGGTTTTCTTGTGAAGACTGTAAATTCTTGTAGTCAAAACGCACCTGCACCATTTTGTATCTTCACAGGAGTTTACACCAAAATAAGACCTGCTGGATAAGGTGAAGTAGCAAAAGGAATTAGCCGAAGTGCAAAATGCCTTGTACTGGTAACATTTCGGCACATTCGTAAGCCTTTGGAACAAAGCGTTCAGACCGAATGATGTTCAGCGATGCCTGTACAGGTCAGTCTGTAAAGACCTGCAGAACCTCGTATCAAGGGGGTTTCTTTTTGTACTGGTTCGCACTTTCAGAAAGGCCTGATAGGTTTCATCAGGATGCGACTTTTTAGTTGGCATGAGCAAACAAGGCAACCAGAACTAGCAAAAGCGCAGAATGCCCTCATCAAGCAAAACGACGACCACACTAGGCGTTGGCGCCAGAAAAGCAGATACATCTCATTGAATGGAGGCCCTCGAGCCAAACATTGTCAAAGCACTCCGTTGTTATAAAAATACGACAAATAAATAAATAATATTAAAGACGAATTATCGTTTCGTGGAAGTAACGGTGTTCAGGAACATCTATGAAGTAGCGGTTTTATCGCCAGTCTTTATTGCGCCTTGTAAGGACGGAATTAATCATGTTTTTCGAGTAAGTTTGATGAAATTCTGCTTCTTCTCACTGAAGAAAAGTGCTGTACTTACGTAGAGTCGCTTTTCATTTTCAGTTCACGTACTCCCCGTCCGCTGACAAACACCTTAATAACACACCGATGCAATGTCCCATCCTTTTCACATATCTAGCGGTGAATCGGCCAGAAGTTGGAAAACGAGGTGTGGAGGTATGCTTGCGACTCTTGTCTTCCATTCGTGTGCACGGGTATGTGACATGACAAATGCGTTAAGTGTGCCAGCGTGGTGGGCGTGAGCCGCAGTGTTTACGCCATGCACGAACACCCGGCGAATTGTTCCACCTGCCTGGCTATTCGAATTGACTGTTAAAGAGGCAAGAAAACTTGATCTGGTCTGTCATGAAGCCTTGTTTCAGCTTTATCACACTTGGGTTTCACTACTGCAAGCGACAGACTGGTGCGCATATTTTTATTTTGCGCGCATCGGCGCAAGAGTACCGCCGGCGCGCGAACAGCGTAACATTACGATTATCTTCTGTTTTCCAGTCTGATACCAGCGGAGAACGGCCGCACGAGTCAGGTTTAGTGACTGCAGAACGCAAATTCGAGTTTTCAGTGGTCTTTTCGTTGCCATGGTCCAATAGCTTGCTTCGCCCCAACACTGAATGGACAACTCGTAAAACCATTAACTGGAAACGTGCAGCTAGGAGTTCAGACTTCGGAGCTACTCTACGATACTTTCGTTTTCCTATGTCCTCTGAAATTCGGCGTCAATGTACTGGAATTTAGACTGCATGAATCATATATGTAAGTTTTGCTTCTGTGTTTTTTCCCACTGAATTGTGGAATGGCATGATCTGGGGGGGGGGTGGGAGATGTCAAACACAATCAGCAGAACATCTCTTTTTTTTCGAGTAGGAGTCGGGCGGCGGGTAGCTGTTTGCAATTGCCCCCTGATGTCGGACAGGATATTTCATGAATGCCCCGTCCTCATCACGACCCCGCCCCCTTGCTTTACAGCTTTGTTGTCAACTGTTCGATTTCTAGGAATAAAAGGATGATGTTTGCCGCTCAAGTAGTGATGATGAGAAAGACCAATCCCAATCCCTTCTCATGCGATGACTCTTCTCCACTTTGAATCAGAGGAGTCTTTGTGGTCTATTTTGCTCGACGCTTTGTAGATCCTTGACGGCCAGGCTTGGGTCCTATCACTTTGAGCGTGGGGAGGAACTATGTATACGCTTCGCAGGCACATCACGTATTGCGTAAGCGATCTGTTCTGTGAAGGTGATTCGTTGTATTGATCCAATTTTCTTCCTTGTTGATCCAATTGTGACTTTTTACAACTGAAGTCAAATTTTGTTGTAAAGTACGCATCTGTTTGTTGTTATTTTCAACCTAGAGCTCTTTTCATTTTTAATTTTGATTTATTTGTAGCTTGCTTGATGTGTTCTGGTTGACAATAATCTTTGTTTGTTGAAGTTGCTTGTTTAATTGTTTGTTTTTTGTTTTGTTGAATTGTGAAGTAAAGTTTCCGAATTGGCAGTGAGCTTGAACATGCCTTTTCTCCGGGCAGGGCGTTACCCGCGCAACCTGACAATAAGATCGGATGGTCCCAGCTTACGTGAACTTTTGCAGTCTCCCCGGGACCAATGACGGCGAGCGACCAGAATAGATAACAGGCGCGCTCCACAGCCGCTTGTCGCGCTAGTGCGAAATCGCGCGTTCGACAAGGACGCTGACTATGAATGCCGCCTCGGTGCGCAACCTTGTTCTGCGCTGCGTCTGTTTAAGTGCTCTTGTTAGGCGCGATGTCCACAACGCTTAGGTTGCTTTCGTACTCTCGTCGTCCGCGGCCTATTAATCATGTTCCTCAGGATGGGTAGGCTCTGCCTCGTGGGCACTCCTCAAACTATTTACACCCAGATAACTGGCACTTATGCGGTCCCTGATCGTCACAAAGTAGCTGTCATACCGGGTCGCCCAGTTCTTTCTTTCCTTCCCTTTACCTACGTATAGCCATTTTGAATGAATATAACTCATGTCTAGGCTTTTCCAGTCCCGTTGAGCGAGTGAAGAATGGACATTGAAACCGGAAGAATAACTCGAAGCCGTGCAAAAATGTCGATGGGAAGTACTACACCGTTGTCAAGGCCAAGTAAAAAAGTAGAGACACTTCTTCGCAAATCTCGGAACCTTAAGAAGCAGCTGGTGAGTTTTTCTAGGCCGCAAATGCAGTCGGTAATACCAACAACCCAACCAAGCGATTGCTTATCTATTGAGCTACAAGACTGTGACATCGATACCTACCTAGCTCGTGGTGATCACGCGACAGCTGGCGTGGGTGGCTATAAACACAGTCTGAGAGTGGATTCATACTTTGTGGCATTCTGAGCGTCTGTAAGCGTTTCGAACGCTTTGAGCGATTAGGAGGAAACTATAGAGATCGATCCACTGTTTTGAGCGCCCACTACCGTTTCGAGCGAAAATCGATACCTGCAATTTCGTAGTCGCCCACGTTGACGCTCAATACGCTGAAAACGCTTTATCGATACCCATGGCTTCCTAGCTGGCGGACGCCGAAAACGCTCAAATTGCTGACGCAAAGTATAGACGCACTCTTAGGTAGCTTCACGCACCAGACTGAAGATTAGATAGGTGTCGATCCACAGATTCGTCGAATAGCATGGGATTCAGTCCAAGCCACCGATTCTGTTACTCTTCCGAGTGAAAGTATGAACGCTGTCTTACTGTGAGAGAAAAATAGAATTGGCCGTTTGACCTTTCTATAGAATGTCTGCCGAAGAAATGCAGGGTGACGGGAGATTAGCGTTTCTGACGGATCAGCAATTTGGGGAAACTCGTGGTAGTGTGGAAGTAGTGGGGGAGTTACCCCATCCGTTATCGCCGATTCTCCCTAATCGCTCATTCTCTGCTGTCGAAAAGTATAAACGTTTCTCGAAGGTTCTCTTCACCTTTCCATGTGTAGACAAACGAATTGCCGGAGATTATCTCAACGATTTTAATAAACGATAGACGAGAAGATATGGGCTGAAAACAGCCGACCCATCTTCTTCTGTCTTTGCTCTTTCAGAACTCTTCTTCTCAACCTTCTTCGGCCCTCAAAAGTACGGAGACGTCCTCACTAGTTGATTTACAAGAAGTCTCTGGGAATCAGCGTGAACTCCAATATGTGTGTCCAGCTGGACGTTACCGAGGTGGAACTCACTTACCGAGTTTAGGAGTGCATTCATTTTTTGTGTCAGCTTTTGAGCGTACGCCAGCGTTTTCAGCGGCCAGGAAAGCATAGTCATCAGTCCTGCATTTCAAAACGCTGGGTCGATACCTATACTTTCTGGGTCGCCCTGAGTGCTGCCGCACACTCAGAACGCTGACGCAAAGTAAGAACGTATTCTTATACCTTTTATGATTATGGACGGGTTTTGCTAGAAATTAGTCAGTTTTAGATGCCACTTCCTGCAAAGCAACCAACGATCAATGAAAATGCGTTAACTAATCCAGACGTCTGCACTATGTCCACTACGGAAACTAGCGGACAGTGTGCCAGTCGCATTCCACTGAAGGATGTAAGTACTAATCACGCTGCATTTATACTTTGCGTCAGCGTTTTCAGCGACTGTCTGCAAAAAGCTCAAAACTGCCCACGAAAATGCTTCAACCGCCGGCATATGCTCGAAAGGCTAGCTCGATAGCTGTACTTCCCCAGCCGGCTGAAATGCTGGCGCAAAGTGAGAACGCAGCCTCACTCTGTCTATCTATTTGCATTTTTCCGCTGGTCATGTGAACTTTTCCTTCTGATTCACCAGAGGAGGTGCTTTATTCGACAAATTGAGCGAATTACTTCAGGTTTCAAACATCAGCGTTGTTGGACAAGTGCCAGTATCAAGTTCCCACCCTTCATTACAAGAAATTCATGAAGAACTGTACAATGAGGTCACGGCTATGTTCGCTCCTGAACGTCTCACATTCGATGTAGAGGTGAAGGAACTATTTCCATTCTACAGTTTTCTCGATCAAATAATTTATAACGATTGAATTTCATAGCCGCAGTTTGGCTTGGGGAGGGGGATTCTGCACTACCGCTACTTCCTATTGTCGTGTTCATTGCTTTTCAAGAGCTCATAATTAGTCCCTTCTGACTTTGACTAGTATTACTTCAAGACATCACCCGATTTCACGACATTCTACT